TATCTATCTATCTATCTATCTATCTATCTATCTATCTATCTATCTATCTATCTATCTATCGGGACGTGGTGGCTCAGTGGCTAAGAGGCTAAGCTTGTCGATCGAAAGGTCAGCAGTTTGGCGGTTCGAATCCCTAGCGCCACATAATGGAGTGAGCTCCCGTTACTTGTCCCAGCTTCTGTGCGCCTTCGGCGTTTAGTCATGCCGGCTACATGACCACGGAGATGTCTTAGGACAGCGCTGGCTCTTCGGCTTTGAAACGGAGATAAGCACACGCCCCCTAGAGTCAGGAACGACTAGCACATATGTGTGAGGGGAACCTTTACCTTTACATAAATACAATTATTGTGCTTTCTTCAAAATTAAATATGATGAACCTACAATAAAATAAAATGTTAATAGTGTACCTTAAAATCGAAACTGTTATCGTACAACTAACGATGTATACTCTTATCTCATCCCCCCCCCCCCCAATTTTGCTTCTTTCCTGCAAAGATCTCTTTGAAGTGTAAACTTTAGATGATGTTTGTAATATTTGGCCTTCTTTTGTGATTGATGGTTCCCTTCGTTGTAGGAAACATGTCGTCTCGCAAAGGGTTAAACGGGGCGTGTTCTGTCTATGAATTCACCGGCCTTTTCATTGGACAAAGCGTCCACTTCAAGATGACGTCAGTATGTGGTCATGTGATGACACTGGATTTTATAGGTAAAATAATCATTCTTGGCTATTTTTCTTCCACTTTGCTGTAAGTTGAAAGCAAGAAGGATGCTGTGCAGAGCAGTTTCAAGGGAATGTCCGTCCCAACACTTTAGAAGTACAGATAGTCCGCGACCTACGGCCAAATTGAGCCCAACATTTATGTTGCAAAGTGAAGCATTTCTTGAGTAACCTTTGCCCCATTTTACAACTTTTCTTGCCACAGTTGTTAAGCGAATCATTGCACTGGTTAAGTTAGTAACACGGTTGTTAAGCGAATCAGGCTTCCCCATTGACTTGGCTTGTCTAAAGTTTGCAAAAACTGACCGTCGTACTGCAACTGTCATAAGTACGAACCATTTGCCAAGCATCTGAATTTTGATCACGTGGCCATGGGGATGCGGCAACAGTCGTAAGGGTGAGAAATGGTCCCGGCCCTTATTTCTGTGCCGTTGTAACTTTGAACCATCACTAAATGAACCGTTGTAAGTCAAGGACTACGTGTATTCAGGCTGCAGAGCTCAGTTTATCAAAAGCCATCCATGATGACTTCGTGAAAAATTAGCCAGAGGAGCGTAGAGGAGAGTAAAGAGAAGAGAAAGTAGAATAGAAAATAGAATAGAAAATAGAAAAGAAAAGAAAATAGAAGCGAAAAAAGAAGAGAATAAAAAATAGAAGAGAATAGAAAATAGAAGGGAAAATAGAAAAGAAGAGAAAAGAGAAGAGAAAAGAGAATAGAAAAGAGAAAATGGAAGAGAAAATAGAAGAAAATAGAAAATAGAAGAGAAAATAGAAGAGAATAGAAAATAGAAGGGAAAATAGAAGAGAAGAGAAAATAGAAGATAACATAGAAAAGAAAATAGAAGAGAATAGAAGAGAATAGAAAATAGAAGAGAAAGAATAGAAAATAGAAGAGAATAGAAAATAGAAGAGAATAGAAAATAGAAGAGAATAGAAAAT